GAACTTCTCTCCTATTGGTGGATCAGTCAGACGGGAGAGCTCTAGGCCTACTCTACCTGCACACATCAACGAGCTTGCTCCTCACACAGTCAGATGGCTTCCTTCAGTGCGCTGAGGTGTTTAGCAACTCTGTTTGAAGACACTACCAGCCATGTCTTCCTTCTCTTTTCATGTGGACACTCTGACCTACAGAGTTTTCATTTAGCAACTTAGACGGACACAGAACTGCAGGAAAGTGAGCTGTTGTTTCTGACAGCCACATCAGTTAGCCGCAGCTAAATCTGGAGTGCACTCCTATTCGAGTATTTACGGTAAATGCTCCTACACGGAGTAGCTCCTTGCTCCAGTGTTATCAGCTGCTGTTTCAACAAAAACACCATTCAGGGTGAAAATTCAAACGTGGTGTTGTGTCGGGAGATGCAGTGACTTAACCAGCGGTGAGTAAGAAATATTATGAATAATACATGTAATTTGTTAAGCTATGAGGAAAGTTAAAAGTCCGCTAGCCGCTAGGCTAATTTATGTAGTGCTAATATCATATAGGTTAAAGCTCTTAAGCTAGTGGTGGTGACTAACAAATAAACTAATTTTGACAATTACCATTACGAAGAATTTTATGCTTCTGTTAAACGTGATTGCTATTAAGCCGTGTTCTATGTGTGGTAGTAGAGTCAATTTAAAGTTAACTTTAACTTCACTTAACCAGTCGAAATGATTTAATATAGACTAGTTACTGTACTTCTATGTCTTGCACAGAAAACACAAGAGGAGGCATGCGGAGAACATAACCATATTCGTCAGAGAGAAGAAGAAGGAGGAGGAGAAGGAGAGCAACAAAGAAAATAATCCCCAAACAATAAAATAAATTCCTTTTATATTTCCCTGCCTTGTTGTTTATGTGTAGATACAGAGGAAGAATGGGAGAACAGCACACATCTCGTTACTGTGTGTTAAAGCATGGGGTACTTTTAATACAGCCCTAATATTTCTGAGTAACTATAACAAAACATTAAAGATTTTTTACAACTGTCTGCATAGTTTATTCATCTTGTGTAATGAATGAAAAGCATGTTTGATCCACCTTCATACACATATGTGACATTACTGTACAAAAAGGGGAGTTGTTTTCTGCTCCAGCCTGCCTAAAGGAAAAGCATTTTTGGGATTAAATGGACTTTATGCCGCAAAAAACGTCTTTCTTGGTAAGTTTATTATTGTTAGCAAGACAACACAACTGTGTAAGTTAACTAAAGTTGAGCTCACTCAGGGTTTGAAAATATTTGACTTGGTGGATAGCTTTGGTGTGCATTAACTAATGCTACCACGTGGATTAATATATTTGTTAGCTAACGTTAGTTAGCATTTTAATAGCTTCATAATCGAGACAGCAACTTTTGTCTGCCTTAAACAATGTTGGGAGTAACGTGTTACAATAGTAACACAATTAACGCTACAGTAATGTATTGCGTTTTGCTGTAAGGCAGTTTGTAATGTTAATAAAATGTCGGTAATATACAATCTTAGTAACCCTGTTGCTGGAATTTGATGCATGAAATTTTAACAAGGCAGGCCTTGTGTGTATTGGTGTGGATGATCCCTCAATTCTGCTTTTGCACTGTTAAAATGACCAGTGAGGTCATTATCAGAGTAATAAATGCAACTAATATGTTGCTGTATGTGCTAAAGGTTCATATTTTTATAGTCTACCTTAATACTCACATGTCCATGTTTACAGGAAGTTATTGGTCACTGTAATCATTATTATGGTCTGTAAATACATAACCGTTTTGTATTCATTCTAAAGTTTAGCTGAAGCTACTATGAATCATCAGCTAAGCATCTGCATTAGACTAGTCAAAAGTGGATATCTTCTAAAGGTACACTGTTTTTTAGAGGTTTCTCTTAACTGCAACCATGGAGGGGGTAATCATTACAGTGACCAATAACTCAGTTATAACAGCAATGTTAAAGTGTACACGCACATGTGAGAATTGTTTTAAGACGCGCTTGAAATGTTTTTGTGTACTGCAAGGCCTGACCACACGATATAATAGCATGTGATGTTATAAGTTGGAATTTCCTGCCTTAGCTCAAGAAAATGAAATAAAGAATAATAATAAAGATTTGCTATAAGAATAGAATTACAGTGTTTATAATGATATGCAAATGAAGAACTAAATTAGGTGGAAGTACTGGCCTAACTGAATATTTATTAAATCTCATTTGCATTTCTTTTTTTTAGGGGTTCCTGTGATCGTTGCCTCACTCAGATGGCTTAGAGGCCATGAAAACCTCAAAGGACCAGCTGGACCCTCACAAGCTCAATGTGCTCACAGGTATGTCTGGCTCCTGCACACCATCACTGTTTTTGCTCTCACTACATGTCAATGGGGGCAGACTAAATTAACAAATATTCTTGTGAAAAAATTATTTTATTTTATTTATATTATATATATATATAGATATATATAGATAATATATAATATATGTGCCCTGTGGGGTCATGAGTGAGTTCGGCCTCTCTCTCTCTCTCTCTCTCTCTCTCTCTCTCTCTCTCGTGGAGGAGGAACTGATTGCAGTGGCTCTGGGCACCTGGGCTAATTGCCCTGTAGAGTATTTGGGATTGTTTTCTCATTCGGCAAAGGTAGCTGCTGTCGAGGCCAGGTCAGACCTCCCTGCAGGCCGGCTCCCTGGTTTTCCCTTTAGTTTGGTTTTCTTTGGTTGGACTATTGCTTTGTGGTATTTATCTTGTTTTTGCATATTACAACACCTTCACACATACATTCAACACATACCTTCAACCATCATCCTGCACAGACACTACTGAAACCACAGACTACATACCTCATACTTTAATTATGTTAATTCGAAATAACTTGATTTGGCTTATTTTTCATTAAATAAACATTAACCGTTTACCACGGTGTGTCCTTTTGAGCCAGGTCATAACTATATATATATATATATATATTATATTTATTTGAGCATTAACTGGGAGGGGTCCCTTGTGGAAAACTATTTCACCTGAACTTAAAAAGTTAGCATTATCATAACAGTTAGACATGATGTCATATTGTGTTTCAGCAACTTTAAACAAAATAAAAATCTGACAATGGCAGTTAATTAATTAGAGGTAATATTGCTTTGATATAGACATAATATTTCCTTTTCCCTTCCACAGATGCAGTGTGATAAAGCAGTTTCCAAATCCCATAGAGTCTGCAGTCGCAAAAAATGCAACAAGTCCTACTCAAAGATAACCGACCCTCCACTCCAAGGATAAGGATTGACATTTTTCAGTTTGGTTCCACCATTTGTACTGTATGCTTGTGACGGAGTACCTTCACTACAGTTGAGTAAGCGCTTGCCATACCAACAAGCCTGGCTCTTTGGCAGTGCTGTCAAAGTTGCATGTTTGGTACCCTGTAGACCTGTGTTCAAATCTGGGTAGGATGACTGCTCTCGCCTTTGGCCGCATATGGTGTCAGAAGTGGGATGGCTTGCTGTGAAGTCATCTGAGCCGTGCCCAGTGTCCGAACCGTATGAGGGACCCCCATGGGTAACATTAATGATGGAATGTGTATAGTGTACTTTTCAGTAATACTGATCATATGTCATTTATTTTTGTACTCTATATATATTTATTTTAATACTGAAGGTATTTTGGTCAAGATGTGATACATGCTGCTGTACCTTTTAATGTACAGGAATTTGTTTTTGTAATGTACACAAAATTAAAGTTTTTAGTTGTCTGTATGTGTGTGTGTTGTAAAATTTTTTTTTACTGATTTTTATTATTATGCTAAAAGGCATTTTTAATGTATTATTCTCATACTGAATGGTTTCATAAAGCAGCTTCCCAAGATATTAATAGTGGCTCTTGGAGTATACTAGTAATAAATTACTAATATGCTGAAATGCTAATAAAAATGTTCAGGGAATACATTTATGTGAAGTTTAAAATAAATTTAAACTGTTCTTCAAGTATAGCACAAAAGGGTATTTTAAGTTAAATTTAAAGAAGTATATTTAAATTGCAGTAAAGGTACTTAAAGAGGTGGATCAGGTTCCAAATCCTATTTAGGGGTTGTACCAGAACAGGTTTACATAGTTTCATTTTCAAAAAACCCCGTATGGTTTGTCATACTGCACATTGCTGCAGCTCCTCATTTCACCCTGTGTTGAAGGCTTCATTTTAGCTGTGGAGTGATAGATCTTATCTCTAAATGATCTTTGTTGGGAGTTGCACATGCGCAGACTACTAGCCAATCAGAAGCAGAGAAAGGCAGGTCAGCGAAAAGATGTAAACAGCTTCGATTCAGCTATAGGCTACATGTTGCCGACCTGCTTGGCAATTTGGACTGGAGCAAGAGTTTCAGAGTGGTGCATTATTAATCTGTAACAAAAGTATCTTTCATCCATAAAGTTTTAACTGACCTCTGTCTCTACATCACAGTAACAACTTTATGTCCAGTGACTGCCTGGAGGGTAGCTAGTGTTTGGAAGGGAGAGGAGAGGTGTGCTGCAGCTCAGTGTTTTTCCACCGGTGTTTTTGAGGGCATGTCGGACTAGTTGCTCAGCGAGCATTATGACACGTATATACTTGTGACATCACAAGAAAGGGAAGTAACTACAAACGAGCTGTTTTCAGGCAGTTCAGAGCAGAGTTTCTGTGGGAGATGGGAACTCCCTTTGGGGTGGACTTTGGGCTTTTTCACTTTGCAAACCTATTACATACACAAAAAGATATATAACTCACTAAAGGAGAGGGAAAAAGCCAAAAACCATAATACCACCTCTTTAAATTAGGTCCATTTTAACACAACTAAGTCTATAAAAATATATTGCAATTATCTTAAAGTTGACTTTAAGTTTTTCTAAAATGACATTTAACATACATTAAGTTGTTCCAAAATAACACATTTAATATACACTTAGTATAGTACAATTAAAATATGATAGTACAATATGAAGTGCATCCAAAAAAAGTGCTACTTAAGTATATTTCTTTTTCACTTAGGTATTTATTTTGGTGAACCAAATGCAAGCCATCAGCTTGTTACAGTCTATTACTAATTCAGTGAATTCATGAACATTTGCATTAACTTTTCCAAGTCTACTTTCTTCATGATAAAAGCCTTGTGCTTCTTCTTCAGCAGCTCCATGTAGTCCAGCACCATCATGCCTCGGGTATAGGTCCCCGCCAACTCCACTGTCACTGCAACCTGGAGGAGGACCACAACAAGGTAACTGGATAAAGCATTGAACTAAAATGTTGAAGGTACAATGTGTAATTCCTGGCCACATGCTCCAAACAAATAGGGGGCAGCCACATAAATACCGCATATCAACTTCGCTAAATAACCATCGTTAGATGTTATAGGTCTAAAAGAAATTTTGCATCAAACCGCATCTCTTTACTCGCCAAGAGCAGTGGAAACTATGGGGGTAAATTGATGCCATTATTACAATAATTATAGCATTAATGTACCCCCACAGTATGCAACACTAATATTTACTCTTGTTTTGCTTCATTTTATATTGCTTATTTTCTTTACCTTTGAATGTGGTTTCTGGCTGGAAACGGGCAGTTGGGGTGGTTATAAAAGTCAGTTTCAGCCATCTTTGTGTTTCTGTGATACTAACCAGGGGCTGTTGCTTTGAACGTGACTGGCAAGTCCTCGGGGCAGTTCTACTTCTTCATCCTTTCATGTTGGACTGAGGACAGACTAGACGCTACAGTGACTCTCTATCGCATCTCAAGGCACAAGTGGTATTACAAGACAGGACAGGTCAGGGCTAGCTGGTTAGCAAGCTAACTTCAGTAGATATCTCAATAACACAATGCATAGATGTTAGAACTGTTACGTCTTAACATTCTGTTGATCATGTTAATTAATGTTTTGAATGCTTTAAACTAATTCTGGCCAAATATTACACATTGCACCTTTAAAGACATACTGTAACAGCAGTTGATGCTCACCTCCTCACTCTCTGTTATGAATGTGTCATCGATGGCGGCAGCCATGGCGTAGGTGTCACAGGAGTTGAACCCTTGTCCTGTTGTGATCTCCTTTTGATAGTCTGCGGACCGAGCTCTCTGCAGAAACATTAAATCATGAAGAGGCATTTACATGTGACTGAAGATCATTCGGCACTGAAGAGGAGGACCAAGGCATAAAAAGACTAAGCAGCTGCCAGGGAGCCCAAACTTCATCTATAGATTTTGCTGTTTATTTATTGTCAAAAGCATTTAAAGTTACACTCTGTGATAACTCTCACAGCACTGAACTTTGTCAATAATGTCGGGATAAAAACACTTGTTCTGTGGGTTCAATGCAAAATCTTTTGGTTTGGTGGCTTGAAAAAAGTTTGGTGATCATAAAACACATTTTAGGGGAATTATTTTATTTACAACACAATCTGTTGCTATGTCTTCTGTTACTATACTGTAATTTTATATTTTCATTTATGACTTTTCTTGTGTTACATTATAGTGTAGTTATTGCTGGCACATTTTGGGGTGGTAGCGGAGGAGGTATTCTGCTCAGAGCCCCAAAAGGGCTTGTAAACATATTTGAAATGCTAAATAATCATAACAAGAACATAATTAGAGTGCAAATTCTAATTTAGTTGAGTTGAAGAACTACTGTTAGAAGATAAAAACCCTTTTAAGAACATTGAATAGTTATCTAGTTGTTCTTCTTATAAGGACATGTCATTAAATATGTAGTGAACAACCAGTGGACATTTAATTATTTTATGCCAAATCTTTTATATATTTACCAAATATTTTATCACCCCTCAAGCAGACAGGCTGACTCCAAGCTGAAACACCCTAAAAGAGGTGGGAGTGAAAGGTCTGCCACATCAAAAAGGCCTTATTTCCACTCTGAGTGCTGGATGCAAGTAAACAACCAAGCAAAACCACCATCTCCTGGGGAGATAAGATAACAAAAGCCCCCATCCACACTACTCTGTTTTAGTTTACAAACGGAGGATTAAAATGAATACGATCTCAGACATTGCATGAACGCAATGAACCGAGCCAGCTGTTCGTGAGCCTTTGACACCAGACGGTAAAAGGCAAAACCAAACTCTGCATTTTGTGGCCAAGGACGGATTCACCCTTTGATTTGAGACTTACTGACTGAATAAACAAACTGATTTAAAACAATTAAGCAATTACTAATTGATCACTAGTAACAATTGTTAGCAATTATAAGCTATACCCAAGGAGTCCTAAAAGCCTTGAGCGGACAGCAAATTTTAGGTGTTGCCCCAAATGAGTGCTTATGATTCATAATTTCATCAACAAAGAGTAGGTTCACTACAAATGCATAACCTTTTATTGCAAATTTCCACAACATAACCATTTCCTGCCCTGTTATTATAATCTGCACACTGTTACCGTCATTGAAAGGCATGTAATCTTTTTCATAAAGGCAGCCTTCTCAGTGTTTTGGGCCAGCCACTGGTCACAGAAGGACTGAGGGAGAAAAACAAAGAGTGTTCACTATGTAAATAAATTCTCTGTATTATATTATTAATATTATATTGAAGGGTACATGAAGGGTCTGTCTTCAAATTGTTGTTCAGCCTCACCCACGGCAGGCTGTTCTTGCAGCTGAACTCCCAGGTGGCGATGTAGGTGGGACAGGTGTAGCAGTCCAATACAATGTAGGCAGCCTCAGGGTCAGCCACAAAGTTAAACTCTCCACACGCTGTGGTGTTACCCCTGGCTACACACACACACACGTCATTCTCAGTAATGCAACTGCAGAGATATAAATCACAGAAGAAGAATAAGATACAGATTTTACAGACACTTGAAAATGAACTGCAGATAGCTACATTCAGTGTTTCCTCCCATGATGTAGAGCGCCTTCAGCTTCTTGGGGAGGGAGGGGTCCAGTTGTACTGCGACAGCCAGGTTAGTCAGAGGGGCCATGGCCACCAGAGTCACCTGTAGACAGCAACAGCAAACAACATACATTTAGTCTTGTATCATTTTCTTTATATTGCTTTTTCTTGTGATACGGGTACAGGATAACAAAAGATGACACAAGTCAAAGGTTTTGATCTGAAGGTTGGTTAGAGTACCCTCTGCAACCTTTCCTTTATCCAGTGAAATATCTCCACATCATCTCAATGGATTAACAAATAACAAATAAATTTTGTAAGATACTTGCGGTTCCCAGAGGATGGGATCTAGTGCCACCATCAGGTGACAGTTCAAATGTTTTATTCGTCCTCTATTCCAGTTTAAGACGAAATACCTGCACACCCAAAGACATTCTGCATGTCGAAGTGCCCTTGAGCAGGATACTTAACCACAAAATGCTCTGTAATATGTGTATGTAGCCTTGCATGAACCATCAGTGTAGGAATGTGAGTAAATGTAACACAGTGGTTGGAAGTACAGTCCATTTACATGATCCCGATAGTTAAACCTTCTAGATAGAAAGGTCACATTAATCAGACCCCTGGCTTCCTACGCCTACTCCCTGAGAGAGAGACCTGTTATGGCAAATATAGTGTGTAAATTAATATTTCCTTACAAGTAAAACTCCTCGTGTTTGTCTTACCTCCCCAGGGTTCTCTTTTACAATCTTAATCATGGCCTCCACAGCTTTTTTCTTCTGCAACAGCTCAAGGCCTGGAGCGTCTGGATCCGGGACCTCGCCCAGGCCGTCCTTCCCATGATAATCTCCAGCATTTTGTTCATGGGCGAGCAGGGGCTTTGAGCAGCCACGATACACAGGGATCTGTCGAGCATATGTTTGAATACTTTCAATTTTAATTGACATGGGCTCCCTTGGCACCAAAGTTACAGTCAGCCAAAAACTTACATCCAGCCTGTTGCAGACTTTCAGGACACGCAGTGTGTTCTTGAGGACGTTCTCCAGGGGTGTGTTGCCGTGGCAGCAAGTGATCCCCAAAATCTCCACATTGGGGGCCGCGAGAGCCACCATGATGGCCTGAGCATCATCCACCCCTGTGTCCAAGTCAATGATCAACTTCTTCTTCATCCTACATTCAACAAAAAAGATTCACATCTGATGCCTGAAGAAGAATAATCAACTTCTTCATGCTTAAAAGAAAAAGTTCACACCTGAAAGATGCATACGCATACTTTACAAAGGGTTAAGTTCTGTGAGTTGTGGAAGTTTTATTGATTAAATGTGATAGTAAGTCATAAGGTCTAAAAAGTCTTCAAGTAGGTGTTTTCAATAATCAATCAAGTCTGCAGATGTTAATTTTAACATGTAAAATGTTCTGTTAATAAAATTACAGAAAAATATATTGTATAGTATTGTGTGTATTGTATTGTAGAAATATTCACCTGGTGGACGACTCCTGAAAGATGTTTACTGTCTGCTCTGAGAGTGAAGAGGTGGCCACTGACTGCCCTAACCTGAAGAGCCGCCTTTTAAATGCCAAAAACATGTTGCGTATGTAACATACAGGTTACATACGCAACAGACCAACCCCAGCCTGAGGGGTGTTCATGCAGGTGTGTAAAAGAAACATCTAAACGCCTGTCCACTACCTTTTAAATAGAATAATAAACCACCAGTGGTATATATTATTTGGAAAGACTGGGAAAATTATCAGTCACTTTATATTTGCATATTTTCCATATTGTTGGATGATTTAAATTTAACACAGCCTTGAACTCGAATCAGAATAATAATCACACAGTGTCACAAAGAGTTTGTTCTGCTACAGGAGTATAGAGTTATATCCACTATTCTGAAAGGTTACAGTAAAGGTAAGGTTTCAGAATACTTTTTAAAGGCTCCTGAAGCACAACTGTATTTATTATTTGAATAGATGCAGAATCCTCTGCTACATTGTCTTGTAACTTCTGCTGTGGAGTCTGAATCCGTGCCTGTTCAAACCTGCTTCAGTACAAAAGGTATTTACGGCCTGCATAGCTAGTAATTCAGTAAAATCACACTTAATACCAACGTGAAAAGACATCACAGCTGAATGTGAGAAACCTGTTAAAACCCTCCTGCAGCCTGATCCACCTCTCTAACTCTGACTGCAACTCACTCAGTACATCGATAGAGAGGAAAAGTGGATTATACTGCAAAAATACAACTTCTTGTCAGCATTGGGATCCATTACACATCACTACTTGGAGCTATGTTGTCCAAATCTCAAATTCTGTGGCTCTGGTGGGGTTTGGTCAAAGCCTGAGAAAAATAACCCTCATGATGTCATTTTGGGCTTGGAGAGTCCACATTTATACAGTAAAGTCTGCATCAAAAGAAAGACATGGACATTTATAAGGCACAGAGGGTCTAACAATATGTGCTATTGAGTTGCATTATAGGAAATGAAGGATCCAGTGTTTCTGGAGCTTGACCCACATTAGGAACTAAAAGTTATGACATCCCACTGTTTCAACATTGACCTTTTTTTTAATCTATGTCTTGCGAGTCCTCTAACTTTATGAAAGTGCAATTGTGAATTACTGAAGTAAAGACTTAAGTAAATGTGTTTTTTAATGTTTTGCTCATCCATTCGTCAAGACTTGCCAGGACAAGCCAGGTCTAAGTCTTGTGCCAATATTTATGGCTAAATTGTCTTTTCAGCTGTGCATGCAGGAGTTAAAGCTAAACAAAGTTAGACAATGTAGGAAACACGCTGTAAACAAAACTATGTGGCGAATAGTCTCTTTTAATGTTATTACATCATGCATACGTACATGCTATCCACTGCCACTCCCCTTGTTAATGATGAACAAATCGACTACTGGCTATACCCACATAGAAATCTACAAATTATCATCACTTTTTTAATCACTAATCATGTTCCTTTATTCCGACTTTGACATCAACTAAAATTAAACTTTGAACAAGACTGCATAATTTGTGTTTTAGAGAAGAAAAATATCCAATTTTAATTGCAGATCTAAAAACCAGAGATTGGTTCCACATATGAACTGAATGATATGGCAAATATGACATACACTGCATTTGTTTGAAAACATGAACATTCAATTAACTAACAATCCTAATTATAAAACAAGAAATTCCCTGTGTACAGCAACAACAGTCAGGTGCTGGTAGGTCAGGGGATTTGGCAATGAAAAAACTCAAAGATCAAAAACAAGCCACCACACCCTGAAATTACTTTACTATATTTATTACGAACAACGCGTTTCGTATTTGATCATATCATTCTCTAATCCGTTCAGACATTTCCTTAGCCTTTATTTGATAATCCTGTGCTTCACTACATTTTCTTCTCAATCTCACAAACTGACCATATGGTATGTTACTGATCATATGGTGAGGATGGCAACTAGTAACGTGTAAATTTTATTTCATAAGTCAGATTTATACTTTTTGATAGATAGATGTCGCCAAATGTCTGTTTTCATTAACTTTGATCAAAAGATCAAAAGGATTTTTTTAGGACAGTATGCCTTTGTGAAATGAAAGTTCATCCTCAGAAGCTCTAAAGACCATAAGAAGGTCATCAACATACCTTTTAAAACACAAAATGTTATTTGCAAAGGGGTTATCCATGTTCTCACAAGACGTAATTCCACTGGAGGTGCATCTTTTTTGGCCTCAAAAGTCCATAGTTTCTAGTCCACCCTTATGTGGAATGTTAGTGTACAGGCTTTCAATGTCAAAGGTTATCAGGAAGGACTTGTCAGGCTAAGAGATGTCTGTCACCAATTTTAGAACCCACTAACAAAGTTCATGCATTCAAATTGAAAGTTGATTCATATACATTTTACAGACAGCTACATTTAAAATATTTTTTTCATAATAAGGGTAATATGACAATTGGAGAGGAGTAATAGTCCTCTGAGTAAGTAAATCCACTTTTATGCCTCCTGGTGCTCCTAATCTACACTTGCCACATTTATTAGACTACTGGAAAAAGATACTGAAGCAGGGGTCAAATCAACTAATAGGTTGAAGAGTTACATTAGTTTACGTTTAGTTTAAGAAAGGCCCTGAGAAAACTAAGAGATTATTCAAGAATTGTTATAAAACCAGCTGATAAAGGAGGAGCTGTTGTGATACAAAATACAAAGGACTATGTGTCTGAGGCATTGAGACAGCTAAGTAATAGTACTTTTTAAAAGACTGTTGCAGCAAAACGCAGTTGAGAAATACATAGAAGGAAGCAATGACATTTTTAATGATGTGGTAGATAAAAGGGGGATTACCCAAGAATCAGCATGATTTATTGAAAATTTAATATCCTCTCACTCGTGTTTTCTATTTATTAAAAGTTGTTAACAGTTGTAGCTAGCAGGAATTTCTTATCTGAATCTTTAAGTTGATTTGTGGACAATTGCATTAAAGACATTATAAAAACCATGTTGACAAAGTCTTTTCCAACTCCAAACCACTAATAAGATTCATCTGGGACTTATATTATGTTCTTGTGGCTTGCTGCAAGATCGTCTGTTCTTCCCATTATGTCCGAGCTTGTCATTGCAGGTGCTAGAACACAAACCTGCAATCAAACTCACTGCAAATATATGCATAAATATTTACTAATGACACAAATGGAAAAAAACAACAAAACAGAAAATGCAGAACCTCATTATCTTTAATTTTAAAAATAGTAAAAAGACTAAAAAAAGAACAGTATAATTGCTATTATACATTGTCATAGTTTCAACTTCAAGAAATGCTCAGTTAACATGACATATTTCTTTAGAAGAAAATACAAATATATTATTACATCTATTTAGCATCCATAATCGTATCAACTTAAAATTCAACCTTAATTTCAAGTCCATTCGATCAACAGAGAACTTGCTCTGTCTTCATTCCCCAGAGTCGTCTTCATCTGGTGAGGCAGGTTTGGGCTTAGCCAGGTTGGCCCTGACCCGAGCCTGGTCCACAGCATCCAGCAGGTTTTTGGAGTCCAGTGCCAGAGTGTGAGCGGCCGTCAACATCTGCCGTTGACATTCCTCCTTCAGCGACGTTATGTAGTTCTGCTGAGCCAGTCGCATCTTACTGATCAGGTCCCCTAAGTCCTTGTTCAGTAGTTTCTTAGTGCCCTCGATCTGAGACAGGGAGGGGGAAAAGACATTTGGTCAAATTTCAGTTTCTCTTTTAATAAGAGTAGAAAAAATTAAGAGATTTGAAGAGTGACTTAATAAATATAGTTACGGTTTTGTAATCTTTAATTATATGAAATGCAAGTAACATTAATTTAACCGTCCTAGGATACAGTGTTAGAAAGAAAAGCTCTCAAATGTTACCATCTAGCTGTTTTTCAGTGTCCTTATCTAATGTGCAGCAGGTTTCCCCATTCAAATAATTCATACATATCCAGTCTACTGACTGCATGTACACTATCAGGCTTGTGCTAGTCGAGGCTTGTGCTAGTCACAAGATCGCTGATGTAATTGCTGATGTAATCTGCACTCTGCGCATGCGTTGGCGTCTGTAGCCACCTGTCGGAAGCTCCGTCTTAAACCGGACTCTTATCCAGTTTTAATCCACTCTTTTTCGTTACATTTTTTATATCCTTTTTATTTAACTTAAGTTTTTAACTTAAGTTTTACTTCGAGTCTCCCTGATACGGATCTCTTTCGGCGGACAGTGCCTGCCGACACTGTTGCATCTCCTCCACCGGCTACATCTCCTTCACCGGCTACATCTCCTGCACTGTGCCGCCGGTCTGCCACTGGGCCTGATCGGCGGCCGTCATCCCGGTCAAAAACCTCTGCTTCCTGACGTAGGATCCTGAAGGAGGCTGTGCTCAGACGCTCCGGAGACCGTCTCTACCCTGCACCGTCGGGTAGCCCTTCTCTCAGGTTTGTTACTGCTACTCCAACACTCGGCAGCTCACACACTCCATCCTCAGTCTGCACGCAGTGTTGAAGCAGATTCTGCTCAGTCCTGCTCTGGAACCCCACAACCGGCATCTCCTCGTCCTCTTTTCTCCCCAACCACACTAATAAGTGGTGGCTCCATAACCAGAAACATCCGTTTCTTTAACGCTACCACTCACTGCTTCCCCGGTGCCACCACGGCTGACATTTTAAAAAAACTCCAGGACCTAATGCCATCTCTCC